CACACACAACAACATCAACAACATCAACAAATAGGCAGAGAGTGGATAGGACACGTTATGGAGCAACTAACAGAGCACAGCCTGACCGTACTAGCGACACGAAAAACTTTCCAAATAACTTACAACAACAACAGCAACAACAACAACAACAACATAGACCGATCCATAACTCGCATATGTGCCAGACAAATCTCGGCAACTATGCAACCGTCATCCACTGCAACTGCAACAAAAACGACAGCCTCATCAAATAATCCTCATAAAAATCGCTCAAAGAACAAGTCCAACCCGACAACAACAACCAACACTTCTTCAAAATTGTCAGCACCCACAACAACATCATCGACGACAACAACAACATCAACAACAATGGACAACACCTCACACAAATACCTGGTAGTCCATGAAGAGTATGACCAAACCGGATTAAAGTTCTCCTGTATTCAGTTCCTGCCAAGGGACGCCAATGTTTTCCAGCTGAAGTACAGTACCATTCTGGGATCTAAAATGGACGCTGGGAGTTTGTGCGCGGAGGAAGTGATGAAGTTGGATCCGTGGTTGTTTGTGGATAAGAATCATCTGGGAAGACATATCTACGATCCTGATATGGATATCGATATCCGTGGTGCTGGTGGCGATGATGATTATGATGGTGGTGGTGGGGGAAAAGTTAGGTGGTTTGCTGAAAGATGTCCGAAATTCCGAAATGAGGTTTTTGGTTTTGTAAATGTGTGTGTGTGTATATATATGTGGGTGTGTATGTGTGTGTTTATGTGCGTATGAAAAAAATATATATTCATGGCCCACTTTGGTTTTGCAGCCGGGTACAAACACCCAAACACACGTGCAAAAATATATACATACACACACACAAACAAACACACACACATGCAAACATAAATATGCATCCACAAAGCAGAAACTCAAAAACTTACAAAATCAACGTGCAAAAGAAGGAGTGGACATAAAATTAGCATAAATGCAATTGTTGCATCTGGTTAGGCGAGCAGGCGCAGACGATAATGATGCAAATTATACTATCACTATTTGTTTGCTCGTCGGTTGGTTGGCTCGTTGGTTAGTTGGTTGGTTGGTTTGTTAGTTGACTAATTAATTGATTGATTGTTTGATTGGCTAGTTGAATGGTTGGCTGGCTGATTAGTTGGTTGTTTGTTTGGCTGGTTGGTTTGCTAGATGGCTGATTGGCAGATTGGTTTGTTAGTTGACTGGCTAGTCGATTGGTTGTTTGATTGGCTAATTGGTTAGTTGTTTGGTTGGTTGTTTGGTTGGTTGGTTGACAGGTTGACTGTAGGCTTTGTTACCTGTGTCATTCTA